TAGGTTACCCTGGTATAAAACAGTGCAAAGCAGGGAGTGGACGTGGCTTTGGCTGTTGTTTTCTTTTCTAATTGGCTGGCTTTGTACTGGTGCACAGTGACTGTAAGAGAGTTTAGCCCAAGGCAGGGTACGGACCTGCATCTATCAGCCACACGGTGCAAATAATGTATTTTGTGTTTGTTGCGTGATGTGAAGTTCTGCCATCAAAGACTCCGTACCATAGCTGGAGTTTCGCACTCTTGGGGGTTATGTTTTCATGATATACTCAATCTCCCAACAGCTGCTTCCTCCGGAAAGCAATACGTCGTGATTTTCAAATTCAAATCCTCCGTAGCTACTATGCTCAGGAAGTTTGGCCCAGTGAACGAAACAACTTCAAGACAATGAGTGGATGTACTTCTTTCAAGTATATGTACCCCGTTATACAAAAGAAAATGGCTCACTTGGAGTCACCATTGCTCGATTCCTCAGTGCTCAATTTGCTAGAACTGACGGGACGATCAAAGTCACGAAGTTTTTGTTTCCGGAGGAAGTAGCTGTTTGGGCCTTGTTTATATACTGTACCGGCAGAACATTTCGTCGGTCAATAATTTCGTCCAACTCCAAAGAAAGGGAGTTCGTCCGGTTGTAAATTTCGTCCATGGATCGTAAGAGTTTATTGAAAAGCTGGACAAATCGACTTTAGTCCGGCATTTAATTTAGTCCAGAAGCTCCTTGGACGAAAAAGACGAAATTAAATTCCAGACAAATATTTCTGCTTACCCAACAGTAGGCCTGATCAGCAGGGCTCAGAGTGACTGGTCGCCAAACTGTTTGCTATAAAGTCTAGTGAGCAAGAAAGGCATTTTAAAGCGGCTCAAAGCATCAAAGTGTCAAATCTATATATACATGTACATGTATTATAATGTACTCAATCTGCGGACAGAACTGTTTCGTCCTTTGTGGACTCATCGGCGCAGCACGGAGAAAATGAGGCCGAGCCTGATAGCAATAAAAAATAAATATTCCAAAGCCAGATTTAAACCAGGTCTGAACGTACCTTGTCAGAGTGCTCAAACTGACAAGCCAGTGAGCTCTGCGTAATGCAAACAGCAGAGGCACTACCCCGCATGAGAGTGCTCAGCTACTACAAGAGCAGGAGCGAAATACTCAATCTGCGTACAGAACTGTTTCGTCCCTTGTGGACTCATCAGCGCAGCACAGAGAAAATTAGGCCCAACCTGATAGCAATGAATTATAAAGTGGATAGCAACATCGGTCTCTACGATTCTTAGGTCTCCACCCCTTCTCAGCTACTTCTTTACACCTCAAACTCCAAGCATGATCAAGTTACATGTAATATTATCATGGTTGTTCACCCCTTATCACTTCATATACCCAAGTATGTTGTGTTGTTTTGTCTAGATTGGCCCGAAGTTCCAGTGAGAACTGTCCCCAGTCACCCATGCAACTCATCACCACTATACACCAGCAGCTCCTGGTAATGCATGCAGACCTGCGTAAGCGCCTTGAGCCACTCTTTGCCGGTGCAGCGAGCTCCATCTCTCTGCAGAACGTCCACGGCGATGGCCTGCCGTTCATCTTTCATCTCTGGCTCGATGTTGGATGGGCATTGATGGCTAATCTTGGCACCCTGTCCAAGCTTGAAGTTGGTAAGCTACTTCATGAATTCATTGATTCAGCCTGTTCAGCGCGTGTGTGTGGTGGTACATGGTGTGTGTGTCTGGGGGGGGGGCAAGCCAACGCAGTCGATATTCCCGGATGATGTCCGCGACGTCACAGTCAATGCCGAGGGTTCGGGCCATGGTAACGGAGGTGACGCGGTTGTCCCACTGCATGTTGGCCGGATGAACGACGACCGTATGCCGAAGCGAGTTTTGTTTGGGGAGCTCCCTGCAACACGCCCTCGCCATGGTCCACGCAAGCGGTGGCGTGATGTCATCGTGGATGATCTCCGCTCCATCAGCCCCCCTGTGCCTTCTGACTGCTGGTTTGATGCTGCCCAGGATCGCTCTGCCTGGAGGCAGATTGCTCATCGTCGTCCTCCCGCCCGTGCTCCTCCTGATCCTGACTCTGGCTTCCGCTGCGCATGTGGAAAGGTCTGCCGTCGTCCCGGAGATCTCAAGCGCCACGCTCCGTACTACAAAGCCAGCAGATAGTCCCTTCGCTATCATTGCCAGCGGCAATGGGCACGTTCAAGGTTCAAGGGCGGGGGGGGGGGGGGGGGGGTGATCAAGGCTATGAAGTGCAGTACTATGTACAACTGCACGTAAGATCAGACTTGCTGTGCTCGATTGTTGTGCACATTTTCATTCGCTGGCACGTATTGTGTGTGTGTGCGTGCGTGTGTGTGCGTGCGTGTGTGCGCGCACGTGTGTGTGTGTGTATGTGCAGCCTTGCAAGCCGTTGAATGGTGTAATCCCAGCACAAGTTGCTATGTCTAACATAGCTGTTCGCGATCATCGCTTCCGCGATGGGCATGTCTGAGGTCTGAGGTCCGAGGTGTGTGCATGTGTGTGTGCGTGCGTGTGTATGTGTATGTATGTGTGTGCGTGTTGGTGTGCGCGTTTGTGCTGGTGTTTTATGTGCAGACGGCTACCTGCCTGATGCACCTGGTCAACTGCTAGCGCATCACTGTCTTGCTCAGGTGGCAGATCTACTGCATCTGCAGTGTAGTGCCATGGAGAAGGTATGTTAGGGTGCACACACATAGAGAAGGTATGTTAGGGTGCATCTTCTCCTCATGTCGGCAGTCAGCCTTCTCCTTGTGCTCCCTTTGGTTGGTCTTCAGGGTGCCTGCCAATTTGGCAACATCCTGTCGCAGTGTGGTGGAGGTTAGCTTCTTTGGCTTCTTCTTGCCACATGGTGACATTGCTGATGTAAGAGGTACCACCTTCACATCATCATCATCGCTGTTGTTGTTGTTGTTGTTGTTGTTGTTGTTGTTGTTGTTGTTGTTGTTGTTGTTGTTGTTGTTGTTGTTGTTGTTGTTGTTGTTGTTGTTTCTGATCGGTGTGTAGACTTGGCCAGATGTGAATATGTCAGATCTTATGCCTTGCACATGTATCCTTGAAGTATGGCAGACACTGAGACTAGTTCTGGACTGGAGTTCAGAACTAGTTAACACCATGGTGAGTGATTCAATGGCTCACTTATAGAGGTATTGATTTCCTTTCCTCGCCAGGTAAAAGTAACGCGGCTACTTTTGTCCCAGTTGTGGCAAGAGTACATAACCCCAAGAGTGCGCAACTGCCTGCACAACCTCTATGCTGTGCTGCGACGGCAGAACTTCACATCACGTGACATGGTTCAAAAGGTTATGCTGGCAAACGGTGCAAAGTGACCACAAGAGAGTTGTACCCAAAGCTGGGCTGCGTACAACCCAGTATCTATCATGCACAGAGTGCACGGGTTCATCACGTGATGTGAAGTTCTGCCGTCGCAGACCCCATAGCTGGAGTTGCACACTCTTGGGGTTATGTACTCTTGGTTGTGGTGATAGTGGTGGCAACCGAACAACACCTGTGTGTGTGTGTGTGCGTGCGCGCGCGTGTGTGCGTGCGTGTGTGTGCATGTATTTTTTGTGTTGCGTTATCATGATTATGTTGCTGGAAGTTCTGCCGTATTTGCCACAATGTCCCGTGAATAGATAAGGCACTTATCGATATCTCTGATGAAGCTCTACAGAGCAGAAACCGGTTAGATAAAATGAATTTCATAACTTAGAACTGTTTTGAAGAACTAGAAAGTGTGTTGTGTCGGGGTTCCGAAATCCAAAACTTTGGACCACCCGAACGCAAACCTCAGAGCATTTATCAAAGCTGAACTTCTACGCTATAATCGCACAAACACCAACATGGCTGATGTACTAGCCATAAGAAGTCTGTTCTGGACACGCCTCCGCCGAAGAGGATACCCACCCAACTTCCTGATGAGTGTTTTCTGTGACGTTCAGCCTGCTGTGTGCAAAACTATCAAACCAAAAACTTCTCATAGTTGTGATGATAGCATTGTTTTCTCCACAGCATTTCACCCTCACTTTGTACATAATAGCAAGCAATATAGAAATTTAATCAAACAATGTTTTTTCAAAGACGGAAAGATTGTCTTTAGAAAGACAAAACAGCTTTTCTACTAACTTGTTTGTTCTCTTGGCAGAGCTCAATATGCTCTGCATTTTGGTGGGAAATGAAATGTCATTTCCCACCAAAAATCTCTTTTTTCCCGCTTGCAATAATGACCTTCATAGTGCAACACACTATATTACTGACCTTTAGAATATAGTACCAACGTACTGCTGTTTCCACATGCAACATTATTGCACTTCTGTACACACCTGCAATAGTGCTGCACTGCTGTACGTACCCGCATGGTGGGAAATGAAATGTCATTTCCCACCAAAAATCTCTTTTTTCTCGCTTGCAATAATGGCCTTCATAGTGCAACACACTATATTACTGACCTATAGAATATAGTACCAACGTACTGCTGTTTCCACATGCAACATTATTGCACTTCTGTACACACCTGCATTATTGCTGCACTGCTGTACGTACCCGCATGCAATATCGCTGCACCACAGTACCCCCTTGCAAAAATCGACCCCCTTTTTTTGCAATATTACGCCGTACTCAGCTGCACTTGTACAAAGTTTACATTGTATCAACTGCATTGCATAGTTTCATTTTTGCTTTGTTACTGGTACAAAACCACAGTTCTAATTTTGTTCACATTCATATCTCTGATGAAGCTCTACAGAGCAGAAACCGGTTAGATAAAATGAATTTCATAACTTAGAACTGTTTCGAAGAACTAGAAAGTGTGTTGTGTCGGGGTTCCAAAATCCAAAGCTTGGCCTGTGATTGTGCTATGCGTGTATGCTGCGTTGCTCGGGTGCTCGGTCGACATCCGTGATGTCTCCCGGGCTGTGTACCATTTTGCCCTTGTGTAATGCGTACCTTTCCGTCCTTCCTTTTTTAAACTTGTTCATGGTTTTCTGCAGTCATTCTGGTCATTGGTTAACTCCTCTCTCCGGGACCTTGCTTCATCATCTCCTGCAAGTGACGATGCAAGTGACAATGAAGCCAAATCACCACTGTATCACTGGCAACAACGCTGTGATACTGGTAAGGTGGCAGCTGGGCCATTAATATCTAGACTGAGCCGTTCATTTCTATATTGAGCCACTCGTATCTATATTTCAAGGGTCTTTAAAACATTCCAACCAATTTTATTTTCAACCCGCCCGCGAATGTGTATTGTAGTAGCGCACTAACTGCCTGCACTTTCCACGAAGGCGGAATTATTACCAGCACTACCTCTCCCTATTTCTTGACTCAATTTGATGTGACCAACTGATTGATGATTTGTTTCTTGCTTGCCGTGATGTGTTTGTGCAGGTCAACGTCGTTCTTTTTGCTGGCTCTTGTTGGCAAGCCTGAGTGAACTGTATCATTTCGATGAGCTGGGTGTCTATGTTCAGGTGAATCATCTTCTTCTCTTGATTCACGTCTCTTAAATTGTGTCATGTATACTGTTCTTCAAGAGTACTTCAAAGTAGTTGATTGTGCTACCCTCAGAAGATGCTCAGGCCTCTTGTACTCAGTGTCATTATTTGCTAAGTCCATGTACAAAGGAGTGCGAGTAGTTTCCGTTGCCCCCCCCCCCCCCCCCCTTTCCAGTGCTGTCAGGTGATCTATCATTCATTGATCACGTCTAGTTCGGGAAACGAGTGTCTTTCTGTCCGGTTTCGGGCCGATGTGATCTTTTCCGCACAGCAACCTGCAAGGACCTACTCAAACTGGATATTCGTGCAAGACCTTCTCCGCTTGTCAATAGATAAAAATGTGAGTTGAGTCGTGATGCTGTTGTCTCATGTCTCTATGACTTACCATTGTCGTGGCCATGTATGCTTCACTGGTTGCACATCCTTCTCTTTTTTCTTTCTCTCTCTAAGGCCGTTGTCACACTGCACGAGTTTCTGGCTGACCAGCCGAAATGCGTTGTGCACTTTCAGTGTCACTCCGCTGACTGTCTGGTCACACTGCATTCTCAGCACCGGCTATATGACTGAAAATCTCTCTCTCATCTCTCTCTCTCTCTCTCTCTCTCTCTCTCTCTCTCTCCTCTCTCTCCATCAGGCCACGCCTGCAACCGCTGATGATCGGATCAACATCAGGTTTCTGCTTACATCACTTCTGTCACTCGCTGATGCATGGCCAGCATCTCAAGATATTCTATTGCTGCTTTGGGATGTCATGCACCGGTTCCTGGTGGGTAGATATCTACACTGAATACCCGGTATCTTGATCTGAGTGCAGCGTGCAGCATGCTGTGGTGTTTGTGATGCTAGTACATGTACATGTATTGTATTGTATTTATTTAAAAGGATTCTCCAAAAGCAAATGGATGCTTATCACGGAAGTCTCCTACATAAATAGAGCAAGAAAAATGGGGAAATGGGGGAGAGGAGAGGGGAAGATGTAGCGTGCATGCTTGATGCTCTGCTCGTGTGCTTGATAGTGCTTTTGGTTTGGGATTGCTTTGCACCCTGTTCAGCATAACAATATGCATGAACGTATTATGTTTGAGTACAACTCTCTTAGCCTGTCCGAATTGGCTGTGTTGTTGGTGTTGCTGATGTTGCTGTTGGTAATGGTGCTGGTGTTGCTGTTGTTGGTGATGTGTTAACCTCTCTCCACAGACAACGGGTGTGTCTCGTGATCCAAACCAATCTCAGTAAGTGTACGTTTGTGTCCTCCACTCTGACAACTCTGGCCAATGGACGTGCGCTTGCTGCTCTTGTGAGGAATCATGAAGATACTACCGTTGTAAACAGTAAAACCTTACTGAAAAGTACATTCTCGTCTCCGTTCTGGGGCGAGGGGGGGGGGGGCTCACCCTGGCTGCTAACACCCAAATATGCGTAATACTACAGTAGTATCTCAGCGGCAGATGCAGCGCCTAAAGGTGGGTTGCCGTGAGTGTAACGGAATCACAGCCATTCCGTTCCCCGGGACGCAGGACACAAAGGACAAGACTAGTTTGGTTTACATAATTATTATTGACATTACGGAAATGGAGACAACACTCCAAAGGACGAACAAGAAGACTGACAAAAGGACTCTCGACTACAAAATCGCGCATGCTCATATCACACATGCACGCGACTAGACGAGACAGTTTGGGGAATGCCATCACACAGGAAAACAACACATCATTTCACAACACCTGCCCCCTTGATGACATTCCACAAAATAATAAACCGACACCACGTTCCACATGCACAACAGCAAAAGGAACCACAGCAAAACAGAAAAACCAAAACCAACCAACAGCTTACATTGTAGCACAACAAAACTGGGCCACGACACAGGGCCAAACCAAGACACAAGAGCCGACACTCTCAACCAAGCCGCACCACAGGGCCAAACCAAAAAACACAAGAGCCGACGCTCTAAACTCAGGCACACAAGGATAACCGAAACACGAGAGCCAAAGCTCCAACAAATAACAATATGCGCGCAGCAGCGCAAAATAAATCTATAACGCAAATTAATGCAGAACGCCGAGAAGAGCAACATACCGACAACCAAACTCAACAACACAGCAACGAACTGAACAGCGAGAGAAACACGATCAGACAACACAGCGAGCAAAACAACAACAAGACGAACAACAAAGGACGACACACAGTCGGTGATGCCAGACTCATCCACTGGCCTCTGGCGAGCCACGGCCACACGCTCCATGCGGTACCTGCCGTCCCAGGCTCCAGTCCCCAGCTTCTGCCGGTCCACCACCTTCTCTGCCTCCTCTCCGCGTCGTCTTCCGCTTCCACCAGCTCCTCATCTCTCCTGATCACCTCCATCCCCACGCTTACTATTATTTGTTGACGACGACGAACAGACTCATGACAAACTTACTCATCCTCTGCGTCCCGGGTTTCGGCACCACGTTGTAACGGAATCACAGCCATTCCGTTCCCCGGGACGCAGGACACAAAGGACAAGACTAGTTTGGTTTACATAATTATTATTGACAATACGGAAATGGAGACAACACTCAAAGGGACGAACAAGAAGACTGACAAAAGGACTCTCGACTACAAAATCGCGCATGCTCATATCACACATGCACGCGACTAGACGAGACAGTTTGGGGAATGCCATCACACAGGAAAACAACACATCATTTCACAACACCTTACTGTGTGTCGTCCTTGTTGTTCGTCTTGTTGTCTTGCTCGCTGTGTTGTTCTCTCTCTGTTCAGTTCGTTGCTTGTTGCTGTGTTGTTTCAGTTTGGTTGTTGTCGGTCTGTTGCTCTTCTATTCGTTCTGTTGTTCTCCGTTGTTTTTGTTGTAGATTTATTTGGTGCGGCTGTGCGCATGTTATTATTTTGTTGGAGCTTCGGCTCCCGTGTTTCGGTTGGCCTTGTGTGGCGTGGTCTGGTTGTTGAGCGTCGGCTCTAGGTTTTTGTTTGGCCCTGTTTCGTGGCCCGGATATTATTTTAGAGCGTCGGCTCTAGGTTGATGGTTGGTTTTCGTTTTTCTGTTCTGCTGTGGTTCCTTTTGCTGTCGTGCATGTGGAACGTGGTGTCGGTTTATTATTTTGTGGAATGTCATCAAGGGGGCAGGTGTTGTGAAATGATGTGTTGTTTTCCTGTGTGATGGCATTCCCCAAACTGTCTCGTCTAGTCGCGTGCATGTGTGATATGAGCATGCGCGATTTTGTAGTCGAGAGTCCTTTTGTCAGTCTTCTTGTTCGTCCCTTTGAGTGTTGTCTCCATTTCCGTATTGTCAATAATAATTATGTAAACCAAACTAGTCTTGTCCTTTGTGTCCTGCGTCCCGGGGAACGGAATGGCTGTGATTCCGTTACATGAGGGCTTTTTTTAGACCTTTACTTCGACCAACTCAGTGCGCCTGTCTGGTTACTAACGCCATAGCAGTGGATATCACGATGGCGTCACTCTCTACTTGTTTCTTATGTTGTTTTAGACCATCGGTTACTGGCTGGATTCAGCAGTGTGAAGAAGCATGCAACGCATCTGTGAAGCTGACAGCAAGCCCTAGGTACAGTCGAATGTCACTTATCCGGTCGCCGGTTATCCAACAAGCCCGGGGGTGGTAATTTTATGACTCTCAACAGTAAAATTCTTAAAAAATATATTTTTTGTATATTATGCGGTGTAATATGCATTTACTTGAAGTAGATGTGGTCAAGTATGCTAACATGTATGTGTACATGGAGCAATTCATGAATATACATGAATATATTTGGGTATTGTGTACATAAATCAGTGAAATCCAGCCATATATGCACGTAAAAAATGATATCAGTTATCCAACATTATTCAGTTATCCAACATGCCTGATTCCCGAAGTGGTCGGATAAGTGACATTCGACTGTATACGGTTTGTGCAACTGTACTTCTAAAAGAAAGGACCAAAATGTTACATGTTATCCGTAGTTTGTGTCCAGCACTAACAGTAACAGTTATAAACAAGATGTTGTGTAGTCAGAAGGTGCAACAGCTAGCACACTACTCGGACTGATGTGATACTGACATTCAACGACCTGATGATAAGCTCTATCACGTCTTGGATGCGCAAACCAACAGCCTTCCAACTTGGAAGGTTCTAAGTTATGAAATAAGTTCAAATAACATGAGATAACATGGAACATGTTGGTCCTTTCTTTTACATGTAATCCTTGGCTCTCCATCCAAGTCTTAACTGTACTTCTGTATTTCCTTCTACCTACGTGCCTGCTAGCATGTTTGTGTATTTGAATCAAGAGTAGCTTGCTTTTGTTTTGCACTTTTTTGGCTGCAAGCCAGTGAAACTTGTCAAGTGTGTGTTAACTTGATAACCATTGGGAATATCGACCCTCGATCGGGCATGAGAAAACTATTGCGTGTTCGTGGGCGTGCGTGTGTGTGTGTGTGTGTGTGTGTGTGTGACGGCGATAGAACTCCGCGCCAGCTCCTGTTTGGTGCGCTCCTTCCGCCGAGGCCGGCTTGCGGTCCTCGGAAACGGTGGCGAGACTCTGTCAGAGCTGACCTCTCCGCAGTGAACATCGGCCACACGGAATGGTACGACCTCGCCCAGGAGCGTGGGAAATGGCGCAGTGCGTATTCCGCTCAACCAGTACCGCGATCGGCTCAGCGTGACACTTCTGTGCTCTGCGATGTTTGCCAGCGTACTTTCGCCCACCAGAAATACAAGAATCGCCACAAGTGCCTGGCCGAGAGGAGGAAGCCCATATCTGAGCAGTCCGGCAGCCGACTATGTAATGCGTGCGGGAGATGGTTCTTGAGTGCTGGCGGGCTAGCTTCGCATAAGTGTCTCTCCAACTCGGCTGCTGAAGTGGCGTCGGTCTCGGCTGTGGCATCGGCAGACTCGGTCCGGAAACAGCGGGTTGCCCTGCCCTGCTGCAGAGCGCATTGTCTCGGCTGCGGTCGCTGCTGCAAGTCATCCCGTGGTTTCGACCTGCATAGCTGTGCTAATTTCCTGTCCAGGAAGTAGAGCGGCGTTTCTGGGTCCAATGCTGAACTCAGTGCTGTCGACCCCTGCACAGGGGACACGTGACCATTTGATGGCAGTGTTACCAAGGGACCAAGGTGTGTGTGTATGCGTGTGTATGTGCGTGTATGTACGGGCATGTTTGGATATCATGCTGTTTCTGCTGTATGCCTAGTGGTGAGCTGTGGTGGTTGTTCCTCAGGGTTCTGGCTGTAAAGCTAAGAAAGCCACAGGCTGGAGTCAGTATGTGGATGCTAGTGAAAGGAAGGTATGTGCGCATAATGTGCATTGTGTTTTGAAAACGTTTGGCAGGGTTCGTAGCCAAACATATACACCAACTTTCAGGGGATTTCCCCAGGGTCATTTCAAGCGTTTTCACAGATGCCATAGGGTCGCCAGACACCACACACCGTTCTCGTGCGATTAGACTCATTAGAGCCCTCTCTCGAATAGTGCCCCAGTCTCAGAGAGACAATGAAAAAATAAAGCCCTCTCTTGAACAGTGCCCCCTCCCTGGGCTTGTAATCAAGCGGATGTGCAAGTTAGTTGTTTTGCTAATGTTCTTGTCCATGTACAGTACTGCTCAGTGAAATCCAGTCGCTTCGCTCCAAGCATGCGCCGGGCGCTGCGCAGCCCTAGACCTGCGAACACTGGGCTGCGGGATGATGCAAGGCGCAAGCTTGAGTGACGCCGGCGACTGGATTTCATTGGGCAGCACTGTACATGGACATGTAATTGCCCTGGTGGATTTGGGATCAAAATGGCAACTCTTCTTGCAGTTTCTGTTGAGTCATGACGGGTCAGTATAATCATCCTGGTTAGCCGAGTACCAGTACCTCCGTGTTCGTCAGACGAGATGTCCACACGTCAAGTCGAGTAATGCTCAAGATCGATCGAATACATTTCAGATGAGACGTACTAAGTAGAGAGGGCAGCTACATCCTGATTCAGTGGCACCCAGCACTCAGAGCAGTATAGCAACAGGGACATTACACATGCCTCATGTACCTGGCGTTTGGTGGCAATTGAAAGATTGCGATCCACGAAAACTGTGCCACGCAGTGCCCCAAAGGCCCTCGATGTTCCAGCGATGCGTGGTTTTTAAAGTATCATGAGCCACAACCCTTTCTTGTGTGTGCGTGTGTGTGTGTGTTTTGTGTCTGTGTCAAATTCCAACTAGTCCTTCATTCAATGTCCTCTTTGATGGCAGTCACAACATGAGGTGATGCAAAGTGTGCTATGTAACTCTTCTAACTCGTCAAGTATATTACTGTCATCTCTCTCTCTCTCTCTCTCTCTCTCTCTCTCTCTCTCTCTCTCTCTCTCTCTCTCTCTCTCTCTCTCTCTCTCTCTCTCTCTCTCTCTCTCTCTCTCTCTCTCTCTCAGATTCCTGAGTCGATTCAACCGTCGTCGCATGCAAGAGCTCAGCTGGATTGGTTTGGAAAACTTCTGCAGTTTGTTCTTTGTCTTGGCTCTGTGTAGTGACACAAATGATATTGTAAGTTCACCAAGGGACTGTTCGTAGGTACCTACAATGTATGCATTTTTTCCTAAATTCGTTCAAAATTCCCAACTCCAACCGGATTTGGGAGCCGTGAGGATGTCTGGCCACAACTGACCACTTGGAGACTGCGTTCACTGAGGTAGCTGCTCAGCCACTGGTACAGTTGCCCACGTGGGCCATATACATTTGGACTTGTGTAGGATACCGGGGTGGGATACTCGATCCAATGCACCTGCTAGCTGCTATGTCATTGGCAAGAATGCGTGCAGCGCCCTTTTCCGCGGTTTGCGAGACCAGCTGTCCAATCCATTTTGAATGCTTTCAATCCAATGTGACAGTGCATGCAGTGCTATTTGGGTGATCAAGGTACGAGTACCGTATAAAATAGCGTTACCGTTGTTTGCTAAGGGTGTCTATTGTCTAACAATGGTGTAGTTATGTATCCAATGTTTGAGTGTTGAGTGTCGAGTGTTTCTATTTTTGCCACTTGCCAGGTTTCAAAGATGCTTCCATTACTTGAGACAGTTCCGCTGTCTGATGTCAGCTGTCAGCTTGTCTGTTGGCGTGGTGAGTAGTTTTGATCCATTCGTGCTCTTGTTTTGTGTCACTGCTGTGGCTGGACTTGTCTACCAAGTATCAAGACTGATTTGTATGATTTCGCTGTGCATAGGTGTGAACTGAACACGTGCACACCTTCCTTGTGTTGTTAGTGAACTGATCAATCGGTCTCCGCCACCGCCACCACCACCACATATGTAGCACGGAGGATTGTACCGGGTGTGCTTAACAATTTCTTGCAGTGTCCAGTGCTACTGAATATCATACTGTAATCGTAATCACAACTTTGATGTAAATCATTAATCACAGCTTGTTACTCCTCTGGATCGGCATGATTACCTCTTTGTTTGTTCTAGTATCTTGAGTTGGAGTGCATCCAGTTGTTTTGCTGTACTTTCTTTGATTGATTTTCTTTGTTGTAATTTCTTTGGTGTCCTTTCACCCCCAGGTTTGCTGGCAGTACACGTCCTGTGTCAACAGAAGCGTTTGCCAGTTGATCGCGTGCAGAAATCACTGTCAGGTCGTTTTTCAATGATACTGAAGTGAGTACTTGCTGTGTAGTGCAGGGTGTTCGGTTCGAATTTTATCAGCTCAAGGGAGTTGTTATGGGGAAAGTGTGAAAGAGTGCCTGTCGCCAGCAAGACTCTTATACAGTAGTGGAGAAAGGTATTTGCTGGGGGCCAAAAATGTAGTTTATGGTAAGTTTGGAGTATTCTGCCCTGGTTTGCTGGTGAAGATTTCTGAACGTTATTCTCATCCCAAGACAATACACTGGATATAGTTTCCATGGTTTCCATGGTGAATTAGATCGGCGGGGAGTGAAAATGCAAGATTCTGTGAATGTCAGTTTTCGCAAGAAGCGCACGGTACGGCTGAAACTTGCTTTCAGGGAAAGGGACAGGGATTTGGGATTGGGATTTCGTAGTGATGATGTCCACTGGGGCCAGCGGGGTAATAATAATGGGTAGTTTTATGAGATGAACCCTCTTTCTTCATCCGTCATACCGAAGTCAAGCGAGCTGAGCGACGGTCTACGGACGGCAATTGTGTGCCTGCACAACCATGGTAAGGGCTTTTCTGAGATTGCTGAACTGTTGGAGGTCAATCTAAGAATAGTTCGCTACATTAGGCCATGGTAAAAATTATCTTTGATTCTCAAGTACGCTCGCACCAATTTTTGGCGGCGCACCGGCGATTTTTTTTATTTCTATGCATGCATATGCGCACATGAAAACAGTCAATGCGAAAGGCATGAATCAGGGAGTAGTAAAATACCGGTATTTTTCTACTCCCTGGCCTGAATAATAAAATAATTATATGAACCTGTGACGTACATATGTGTGACCCTGTCTTTGGAAATAAAAAAATTGTGGGAAATAAAATATAAAATCGCTCGCTCGCACCGATTTTCACAGGCTCATGACCTGAGAATCAACTTTATTTTTTACCATGGCCTTATGCAGAAGTTTAAAAGTCGACGGGATCTGCTGCTGTGGAGCAGTGCTCTAGACGACCTCGCAAGACCGGCAACCGCCTCGATCGCCGCCTCCAGGTCCTGTCGAAGCGGGATTGTTTTAAAACTGCACCCGAGCTTGGCCAGAAGATGAGCCAAGCAACTGAAGTGTCTCCAACAGAACTGTTCAGCGCCGTCTGACTGCTGTTGCCCTGAAGGGTTGTGTGGCCAAGAAGAAGCCGTCCATCTCTGAACGAAATTGCCCCAGGAGCATGCCGACTGGACTTTGGCACAGTGGGCCAGAGTGCTGTGGACTGATGAGTCCAAGTATATTATGAAGGCCTCAGATGGCATAAATGATGTAAGAAGAAAGTCTGGAGAGGCTCTTAACCCCAAGTGTCTTCGCGGAACCGTCAATCACGGAGGCGGCGGCATCATGGTCTGGGGCTCGATGTCGGCAGCAGGTGTTGGTCGGATTTACAGGGTCCAGGGTATCGTGAAATCCAACCAATACCTGAAGATCCTGAAGCGGCACATGGTGCCCAGCATGAAGGATCTGATTGGGAACACCGATGCCATCTTCTGTTTGGGAACACCGATGCCATCTTCTGTTTGGGAACACCGATGCCATCTTCCAGCAGCTACATGGCACTGATCTGTTGTAGCTATTTCCCGAGTCTTTTTTTGCACACATGTATAATATAATATGTATATCCTTGTCACTCTATCACACTGATGCTGTTCGCACTGCTTGGTGTGTGTTTGTGTTTGTGTGTGTGTTTGTGTGTGTGTGTGTGTGTGTGTGTGTGTGTGTGTGTGTGTGTGTGTGTGTGTGTGTGTGTGTGTATGCAATTGAAGATCATGCCTGGCCAGTGGATCTCCCGAGCAGTTTGCTGTGCTGAACCATGCGCTGGACTGCCTGGAAGAGCTACACGACAACAACTACCTTCGTTCCAGCCTGCATCACTTCCTGGGCCCCGACTGGGCAACTCTGCTGGTGGAGCCGAAGCGACGCGAGCGCGAATGCTGCCGGTTGTTGGAAGCATGCGTGTGGTTCGTGGAAGTCGTACGCTCATCCAGTCTCTTGGCTAGGTAAGCTAGCTAGGCATCATTTGATCTTTTAAACTGTATCTTATGCTGAATTACTTCATATCCACTCTGCATCGGTAGTGTCGTTTAGCGACATTTGAAAACATGTAAAGATGATGTAAGATGAGCCGAGGTGTCTGCGGAGACCAGAGCTTGAGTGGATGAGCATTTTTGATACTAGCAGGCTGAGTTGGACATTGTGACAACTGTTCGCGCCCCCTGTACTTGGCAGCATTCAGTGCGCGTTGCGTAACGCCTGCTGTGTTCTTTTGCAGTTATTGTATCACCCTATACTATCCATGGCTCGAGTCTGATATTTCAGTTTGGTTCAGACCTTCACATTGATGGCTGCAGTGGGATTCGAACCCACGCCTCCGCATAAAAGAACAAAAGTACTAGAATACAAAAATATAACAATTGATTTGAAATGTGCCAGCAGACCCGATTTCTAAGTTGTCACTTCCACTTCGAACCATGCCTTTTGTGTATCCCTGTGGTGTGTGTCTGTGTGTGTCTGTGCGTGTGTCCCGCGTGCATGTGTCCATGTGCAGTTCTGAGGAGGGAAGCGAAGGCAGCTCTGAGAATGCAGGTGGTAAGCTTGTTATTACTAACTTCTCATACAATGATCGCCAAGCATGCATGGAAGACTCTCTACATTGTAGTCCTGATTAGTATTTTACTTTCCCCCGGTCTGTAATGTGGAATGGCGACGTCTTCATCAGGTACGTCGTGGCTCGAGAAAAAAAGTACTGCATGGCATAAATCTGATGAAGGGAAAACCGCATCAGTCAGCAGAAACAAACTCGCGGCCCAGCTTCGGTGTGGGAACGCGGAAACAAACTTGGAATGAGAACACAAACTATGACGTGTACATTGGCTAGTACGCGTACTCTGAAGACTAGAGAAACTACAGTGCACATAATCCCATGACGTTGAGCATCATGTCAACGTCGTGACAAACCCTGTGTCGGCTACACCAAGACCATGAGTACCTGTTGTAGGCAGATAGGCATGCACTTCATCTGTCTTTCTTCTTAACGTTAGGCTGCACACAATTAGAAAACAAAGAGAGTTAGGGACACTATGCATGCAGAGGTTCTACTGGTTGGTAGTGCACGGGCAGCTTGCTCAGGTTTCTCTGGAGGAGAGAGACTTTCATGTTCACGTGCTTCATACAATTTTTCGGCACAGAATTCGTGTGGACTGGCTTTCTTAGGAATCATGTTTCGTATGGAAATTTTGCGTTATCGAGCGCAGAAAGATTTTCCGTGTACAAATTTGGTACGAGAAAGGTCGATTTTCCGTGGGAAGTTTTCATTTCGGTACAAATTTTCAAAACAAAAGTCATAGCCCGGGACTATGACGTTTTTGCGATCGTAACCTAGGCAATGATGGCAAACACATAATTTCCGTACTCCGGAACATTTCACTACTCGAAAACGACATAAAATATTCGTAGCGCCTCTACGGATTTTGGCAACGAAAATCGTACTCCGGAGCCTCTCTACTGTGTATCCTCTTTCATCTTTGTGCCCTAATAGAGAGGTTCTGCACAACGAAAGTTCGAACGAAGTTTCGCGACAGGCCTTGCGAAAGTGTGTACGAATTTTCGCACGAACTTTGTGTTCTGCACATTTTCGTAGTTTGCACGCGTCAAGTGCACGTACGACATGACCCAATCTCACGAAACTTCCTACGAAAGTTCATTTCGCGTTCCCTGCAAGTTTCGCGTCCAAAGTTGCGAAAGTTCGTGCGAAGTTTCTCAGTTCGTGACGTAGAGCGAAAGTTCGTACACATTTTCGTTTTGCAGAACCTCTCTATTATTACTTGTGGAAGTCAAGCAGGGGGACTAGCTCACATGGTAGAGCGCTCGCTTAGCATGCGAGAGGTACCGGGATCGATACCCGGGTTCTCCAGGCAGTCTTTTTTTAAACATTTTTTTACAATTCTTCTACACATACTGTAAGTTTTTACCAGCCAATATTTCTCCTTCGCATGATTGTACATGAATGGACTGTGTTGAAGTAACATTTTGGGGAAACAGTCAACCTTGCGAATAACGTCCCTCGATCGTACATGAGAAAAGGGTCGCTATTCGCGAGTTCTCGTTATTCGTGAGGCTGAAAGTATGCAGTCATGGTCACTACAAATTGTAGGTCCGAAGATCTTGTCGGTGTTTGGGAGTTTTTGTTAAACTTGTTACCGGTATACCCATCGTCGTTATTGCCGAGTTTGACTGTACTTGCTATTCGAATTACTGTTGTAGGTCAAAGCAAAATATTGGAGCCGACATGTTTCTTAGGGAAGTGTGGGTGTATAATTATGTAGGTAGGTATGTATAGAATAAACACTTCGGCCTCATGTTTATGGGAAAAAAATTCTTTTAACTTCTCGCCTCCAGCTCGGTTTTTATTCTAAGGTTTGCTGCTTCCAATAAACATTTGGCTTCAGGGGTTATTCTATACAAAATTTTCGTTCATAGTATGCCAGGTTCATGCTGCCAATAATAGTGTGTTGTGTGTACTTGGTGACTTTGTGAGTCTTGGTGGATTTGTGTGTCTTACCTCCTAGGCTTGTGCAGTGCACTGTGGCAATTTGTTTACCCATCGTTGTGTCAGCTATCGTACCACCAGCACCTCAGCACGCACCTTGGTCACCAGGTTGCAGATGTGTGCATGGTGTTTGCTCAACTCTCCTACTTGTTGTAAGTCTGCACATCTGCTAGTATACCTGATACGGCCATTATTACCACCCCTTTATGTTGTATTTTGTGCTGGCCATTAGCTGCTGGGGGATGGTGCTTGATGTGTACTGAGTTCTCCTCTGCTTGCACTGTTGTTTGTTGTGTGTTGTTTGTTCTTGTTCTTGTTCTGGTTTTGGTTCTTGTTGCTGTCGTTGTTTTTCCTGTTGTCATCCTAGTTCTTTTGTGGATTTTCCAGTGCTAACAGTGACTGTGTTATGATTGCTGTGCATTGTGTGGTGTTGTGTCACTCTTAGTCCCGTTACTGAAGCCAAAGGCCAAACCTTTCAAGGCATAGTGGAGCAGTTTGGCTTTTCTGAGCGTGTACCTGTCGGGTAGGTCGCCCTACGTGTATTTATTATTATGCTGTAGTTCTTCGGAATACTAACTGTGATGGCGTGAGCCCTCATTAGTCTACTGCATTCTCCACTCTGTGTCCAATGTACAAACAGCCATGGTGGGTGACTTTACCAGTCCGGCCCCTCTCTCTCTCCCTCTCAGGATCCGTCTACGCTTTCTCAGTCACCTGGTTTCCGATAGTGACACACATCAGCTGCTGTTGTCCGAGGGCAAGTCGACCATAACTATGCTTTTCCACTGCTGGGTAACAGCCATTGTCAGCTGCAGTGGATCAACATCGGTGGATCAGAAAACTCGTGATCAGCTTGTGGAGTTTACCAGGTTAGGTTTTTATTTTTATTTTTGCTTGAAAACCATGCACCCAATTCGTAAAAAAGAAAAGAAAGAAGGAGAAGAGAAGGCAGTGAGGAGACAGCAACTTTAAAAGCAATCAGTGGAAAATCGTCACTGATTGATATTGTGAATATTTCATTGATAATAATGAATTTCTTTAGTGTTCTTTTGGTGGTATAGTTAACACCTGATGGCATTATTATCCGGTGTTATTCATTGTTATCAATCAGTGACAATTTTCCACTGAAGAAAACGTTCTGGAAACTAACCTTGCTACCTTGCTTTGTGTGTGTGTGTGTGTGTGTGTGTGTGTGTGTTTGACATGACGGCACAATTAAGCGAATGAGGAGAAAATACAATAAATACAGATGCAATATATACCTTCGTTGTACGCTGGTGGTATACCCAGAGCCTGAATACGATGCCAAATGTGCTGGGTGTAGTGGACAAGCATCCCCTGCTGTCTGCAGCCGGAAACTCCTCAGCACCTGCTTCAAGCACTCCTCGCTCAAAGTCGGTAATAATTATCGCAGGTTCGAGGATGGGCAGATGAAATATTGGTTTGCAAGGTATGGGGTGACAAAGTATGCATGCAGGGGCAGTACAGGCTGAAATTGTAATGCAGTCGATATCGTGTTTTAGCCATCGGAGGCTGAAATTTAAATGCACTGAAAATGTGTAGACGTACAGTGGGTAGAAATTTAGAAATTCTCCTGCTGCTGATGGACTTTCGTTGGCCACGGCTGCCAAACTTGTCAGGTCTTACTGTACGAGCTCATACATGTACAGCATGCTGCTGCGTGACTGAAGCAGTGACACGTTTTGCTGTGTTTATTCTCCACTATAGGGCTATGGAGAAGCTGCCAGATATCCAACAAATCTTGCAGGTCAGTTTTTTTACTTTAGTTTTGCTTTAGCATGAAGATGGAAACATAGAAATCTATTCATTTGCACTTAGTCTTCCGCTGTTTGCTTGTATTTCTATTAGTCTGGGGAACGATTAGCTCGTTGCCAGGCCAAATTGAAGCACATATAAATTTTTTTGAAGGAAATTCATTCTAGCGGTGCCTGTAAGTGTGGATAATGTGCTTTTGAAGATTCGTTGAGCACACAACTTCAAACCCGCATGGCTTTGTATTCTATACACGTTCTGTGTTACAGCTACCTGACCCACTGGATATGCCCGATCCTATTGACACCAGTCACATGCCAATGTGGGAAGCTTCACTGCAGACGTTCATCCGCTCTATTGGCATTGCCTACAGGTCACCCGTAAGTAAAGGATGGGTTTGGACACAAAGTACTTAGCCTTTTCCACTGCCATTCTTCGATCTGTATGAAATAGACAACCTCTTCTCGGATGGACTACACAACATCTTACAACATCTTGCTTATGACTGTTAGTGTTGGACAAAAACTACAGATAACATGACTGTATCATTTTGGTCCTTTTTTTAACCTCTTCTTCTTTTTTTAGTGGAGCAAAACAGAAAGCAGCAGAACGTAGACAATTATGATGCCTCCTAACCTAAGCCACATGTTCTGGACAAAGCACTCGCCCCTTCGTTTGTCGTTACAGTCACTGAGTGTTATTGGAATACTGAGTGTTGTTGGAGTACGTGTACATGTACATGATTTGCTCTGAGTTTCTCTGCTCTCTTGTCCCTTCACCACTGCTTTGCGAGAGCTCTGCAACAGTGCAAGGACATCTTTGTGTGTGAAGCTGTGAACTATATTTGTGTTGTTTTCGTGTTTGGCCTGTGCATCCTATATGCCTGTCTGCAGTGGTGGCTACTTAGGCACTCTCTGTATACATACATCTGTGTTGTACATGTGGCTGTGTTTTAGGAGAATGCTGAGAAACGCTCCCAGTACAAAACACAAGCAAACCGATATTTTTCCGCTATCCTCCCACTCGCTGAAGGGCACATTCTGGCTGAGAAGGCATCGCCAGCGCTCAAGTTAGTGTTATTTTAGAGCGTTGTGTGCAAGCATGTGCTTGCGTGCATTTGCTTAGCGGGCATGTGCTTTGCATGTGTATGTGTATGTGTGCCTGTTGTGCTGTGTCCTTACAGCCGTCTGTCTTTTACTAGGCTGAAGTGCATGTTTCAGTGGTTCAGGCATTTGGTGCCGTTCTCCGTGGGGCCCGAAGTGGGACGTTTCATTTATTTTCTCCGCATGTACATTGCTTATGGTTGCAACCTGTGTGCTTGTATGCGGTGTGACAGGGGTCTGTGTTTTTGTTTGTGGCGTGATGCGGATCTGTTTATCATAATATGGATCTGTTGATGTATTCGTCAAGGTATGATCTGCAGTAACGGTATCATCTTGGCGTCCCGTGCGTTTGTGTGTGCGTGCATTTGTATTGTGCATGATTGTTTCTTCCTCTCTGTCTGTCTGCCTGTCTTGCTGTCTGTCTGCCTGCCCTGATCACCATCACTGATGATTCCTACTGCAGATGCATCTATCGTATTTTAGGATGTGTTGTGCAGTGGTGCTCGACTCTACTGTATTCTCGGGTAAGTTGTTTGCTGTGGATCTGCTGTAGGTAGAAGTTGGGTTCTTTCTTCTTCAGAGGAGTGTTTCTAAGCATCCCAGGACCCTAGGCATTCCTAAGTACCCATGTACATGTAGTGGCCATTCCTTTGCCTCTACCAAGAGTACATGAAATTCAGAGTGCGCAGCTTCTGACTTTTCTGCATGTGTGGCCGTCACGGCGAAATCCCCAGATTACATCATAATTGGTGCAGATCCGAGGCGGGAAGTGGCGTAGTGCGTACAAATGAGCCGCAGTTGAATCCTGCTTGTAAGCACTATACGGTATCACAAAAATGATGATGTTATCCCGGAGTTTCGCCTTGACAGCAACCCATGCAAGCTGCACACTCTGGGTTTCACGTACGTTTGCCTCTGTCATGCGAAGCACATCTGGATTGCCCGGCTCTAGTAAACGGGAAGTATACCCTAGGCTAAAATCAAATGTTCACCAGTTGTAGTCTTCGGGGTGCCGAGTCGAATGGTCTTGGTCCGACGAGGCTGACAAGCTCCCTTCCTCCTTTATTCCCGATCGAACTCGCCACTTCCACCGAAACTGGGTGACTGCGCCCTACTGGATGGGGATTTGTATGCAGAATGTCACTAAAAGCGCCACTTCGTTCTTGTAAAAGCACAGATGACCACAATTGGCCCATATGTTGTAGTCTTTTGGATGCTGAGTCGACTGGTTTTGGTCCGAAAAGGCTGTGATGCAGATGGAGGGGAGGGGAGGGGGAGACAGACAGACATTAAAGGGGAAGTTAAGGCAAAAATTAAAATTTCACCAGTTGTAGTCTTCGGGGTGCTGAGTCGAATGGTCCTGGTCCGAGGAAGCTGAGACGCTCCCGTCCTACTTGAATCCCAATCGAACTCGCGCACTTCCACCGAAACTGGGTGACTGCGCCCTACTAGATGGGGATTTGTATGCAGAATGTCACTAAAAGCGCCATCTCGCTCTTATAAAAGCACGGATGACCGCGATTGGCCCATATGTTGTAGTCTTTTGGACGCTGAGTCGATTGGTTTTGGTCCGAAAAGGCTGCGATGCAGCGTTCCTCCTTTATTCCCAATCGAACATGGTTGAACAAGCGGTCACGTGCTCCTGCGTACGCCAGTCACCTGGCCACCGTGCCTGCAGGGTACAACTTACTAGCCTGTTTGACCTTTTTTGGGTGCAGTCCTGTCACTCGAGTTGAACCTTGGTGTGAAAGTTGTCGCCTGCTGGCGTGGGGACCAGGTGATTTGGGCACCCAGGAGCACGTGACCGCTTGTTCAACCATGTTCGATTGGGAATAAAGGAGGAACGCTGCATCGCAGCCTTTTCGGACCAAAACCAATCGACTCAGCGTCCAAAAGACTACAACATATGGGCCAATCACGGTCATCCATGCTTTTATAAGAACGAAATGGCGCTTTTAGTGACATTTTGCATACAAATCCCCATCTAGTAGGGCGCAGTCACCCAGTTTCGGTGGAAGTGCGCGAGTTCGATTGGGATTCAAGTAGGAAGGGAGCGTCTCAGCTTCCTCGGACCAGGACCATTCGACTCAGCACCCCGAAGACTACAACTGGTGAAATTTTAATTTTTGCCTTAACTTCCCCTTTAAAGCAATAAAAACTGCTTTAGGCCGAGTAAAAAAAATTACTAGATGATCGTCCTTTTTTTTGGAAAAATCGGGGAGGGCGGGAGGATTTTATTTTTATTTTTTTACTTTTTACCCTCTCATGCACACAGTGTACACAACAACATCAAGGTTTTTTTTCTCTTTTTTTCTTTTTTTTTCTTTTTTTCTTTTTCTTTCTTCAGCAGATCGATACTGACGTTGTGATATACTAGTAGTATGTGGTCCATATAGTAAAGAAAGTATTAAACAAAGCGTGCACATGTTTCCTGCATCCGCGATCGGTAAAAAACCAACGATTTCGGCAAAAACTCACGATTTAAAAAATAAAATATTTCTTGGGGCGCTGACAAAAACTGGGGCGGACGGGGACGATCATCTAGCTTTTTTTTTTACTTGGCCTTATGGCAGTTTTCTAAAAAAAGTTATTGTGTTCTAGTCCATGGACCCCGTCTAAAAAGTAAGAAATTAAGAAATGTGATAGCCGAAAATTAAAATTTCACACAAAACCTGTACCGGTATTGCGAAAAATACACTTGACAAACGGGTCCGTAACGGTGTTTGGGTCTGTTTATTAGCCCATGGGCCTATAAACGGAGGTGGGCTTATATCCGGATGTAGGCCCGTGGGCTTATATGCGCGGAACTACGGTACACGTGTGCACTTGCATGATCTTCAGTCTCGACAACAGCATATAAATGTGGCAAGCTAAGTTTGGGCCTGGTTTAAATCTGGCTTTGTAAATTTTCATGCTGTGCACAGATTGAGCATATAAATGTATAAATGTACCTGGTGGTGACAGCCAATTTTTTCTTCAGACTTTTCCCGTTTGTGTCTTTCCCTCAAACTAGTCAAAATGTAAATGTATAATTATGTACATCAGAGTACAGAGGAACAACACATGTATAATAACTTGTAATGTATTATACAAGCAGGCATCATAATATACATTGTACAATGTGCAAATACAAACTTACGTCGTGGCGGGAATATTCATTTCCAGATAGGTGTTACGCTGCTGGAATCCCGGAACAGGAAAGAACTGAGGCTGTTGCGGAGGAGGATCTCCATGCTGTTGGTGCTGCTGTGGAGGCTCTTGAGGCGCTCGTGGTCGAGGCTCGTGGAGGAGGAGATTGCGCCCCTCCACCTTGATAATTTCCTGTATACAAGCAGGCATCATAATATACATTGTACAATGTGCAAATACAAACTTACGTCGTGGCGGGAATGTTTATCTCCAGAAAGGTGTTACGCCGCTGGACCTGTTGGTGCTGCTGGAATCCCAGAACAGGAAAGAACTGAGGCTGTTGCGGAGTAGGATCGTCATGCTGTTGGTGCTGCTGTGGAGGCACTCGTAGTCGAGGCTCGTTGAGGAGGAGATTGCGCTCCTCCACCTCGATAATTTCCTCCACCTGGTCTGCCATGATCAACTCTGCTGAAGTATAGCATAAAGAAGACAGACAGACAGGCACAAAAAGATACAGAGAGTCCTCAAGCATTGCTGACATATAGCCGGTCATGTAAATGCTGGCCACTGGTGGTTGTGCCGCGTACCTGTGACACCTGCATCTGCTCTTCAGCATCAATGACTTCCTCACAAGCTGCATGCAAAACCTTCTTCAGCAATGCATGCCCAACTGCATCAACGGTGCAAGGATAGACTTATCACAAGTGACACAAGTGCTAGCCACTTTCACCATGTCCTTCCCATATTTCTTGTAGCTGTCTTGGTTGACATGACTTAAATGTATTATACAAGCAGGCATCATAATATACATTGTACAATGTGCAAATACTGACTTACGTCGTGGCGGGAATATTCATTTCCAGGAAGGTGTTACGCTGCTGGAATCCCGGAACAGGAAAGAACTGAGGCTGTTGCGGAGGAGGATCTCCATGCTGTTGGTGCTGCTGTGGAGGCTCCTGAGGCTCCTGAGGCGCTCGTGGTCGAGACTTGTGGAGGAGGAGATTGCGCTCCTCCACCTCGATAATTTCCTGTATACAAGCAGGCATCATAATATACATTGTACAATGTGCAAATACAAACTTACGTCGTGGCGGGAATATTCATCTCGAGAAAGGTGTTACGCCACTGGACCTGTTGGTGCTGCTGGAATCCCGGAACAGGAAAGAACTGAGGCTGTTGCGGAGTAGGATCTCCATGCTGTTGGTGCTGCTGTGGAGGCTCCTGAGGCGCTCGTGGTCGAGGCTTGTGGAGGAGGAGATTGCGCTCCTCCACCTCGATAATTTCCTGTATACAAGCAGGCATCATAATATACATTGTACAATGTGCAAATACAAACTTACGTCGTGGCGGGAATGTTCATCTCCAGAAAGGTGTTACGCCGCTGGACCTGTTGGTGCTGCTGGAATCCCGGAACAGGAAAGAACTGAGGCTGTTGCGGAGTAGGATCTTCATGCTGTTGTTGCTGCTGTGGAGGCACTCGTAGTCGAGGCTCGTTGAGGAGGAGATTGCGCTTCTCCACCTCGATAATTTCCTCCACCTGGTCTGCCATGATCAACTCTGCTGAAGTATAGCATAAAGAAGACAGACAGACAGGCACAAAAAGATACAGAGAGTCCTCAAGCATTGCTGACATATAGCCGGTCGTGTAAATGCTGGCCACTGGTGGTTGTGCCGCGTACCTGTGACACCTGCATCTGCTCTTCAGCATCAATGACTTCCTCACAAGCTGCATGCAAAACCTTCTTCAGCAATGCATGCCCAACTGCATCAACGGTGCAAGGATAGACTTATCACAAGTGACACAAGTGCTAGCCACTTTCACCATGTCCTTCCCATATTTCTTGTAGCTGTCTTGGTTGACATGACTTAAATGTATTATACAAGCAGGCATCATAATATACATTGTACAATGTGCAAATACTGACTTACGTCGTGGCGGTAATATTCATTTCCAGGAAGGTGTTACGCTGCTGGAATCCCGGAACAGGAAAGAACTGAGGCTGTTGCGGAGGAGGATCTCCATGCTGTTGGTGCTGCTGTGGAGGCTCCTGAGGCTCCTGAGGCGCTCGTGGTCGAGGCTTGTGGAGGAGGAGATTGCGCTCCTCCACCTCGATAATTTCCTGTATACAAGCAGGCATCATAATATACATTGTACAATGTGCAAATACAAACTTACGTCGTGGCGGGAATATTCATCTCGAGAAAGGTGTTACGCCACTGGACCTGTTGGTGCTGCTGGAATCCCGGAACAGGAAAGAACTGAGGCTGTTGCGGAGTAGGATCTCCATGCTGTTGGTGCTGCTGTGGAGGCTCCTGAGGCGCTCGTGGTCGAGGCTTGTGGAGGAGGAGATTGCGCTCCTCCACCTCGATAATTTCCTGTATACAAGCAGGCATCATAATATACATTGTACAATGTGCAAATACAAACTTACGTCGTGGCGGGAATGTTCATCTCCAGAAAGGTGTTACGCCGCTGGACCTGTTGGTGCTGCTGGAATCCCGGAACAGGAAAGAACTGAGGCTGTTGCGGAGTAGGATCTTCATGCTGTTGTTGCTGCTGTGGAGGCACTCGTAGTCGAGGCTCGTTGAGGAGGAGATTGCGCTTCTCCACCTCGATAATTTCCTCCACCTGGTCTGCCATGATCAACTCTGCTGAAGTATAGCATAAAGAAGACAGACAGACAGGCACAAAAAGATACAGAGAGTCCTCAAGCATTGCTGACATATAGCCGGTCGTGTAAATGCTGGCCACTGGTGGTTGTGCCGCGTACCTGTGACACCTGCATCTGCTCTTCAGCATCAATGACTTCCTCACAAGCTGCATGCAAAACCTTCTTCAGCAATGCATGCCCAACTGCATCAACGGTGCAAGGGTAGACTTATCACAAGTGACACAAGTGCTAGCCACTTACACCATGTCCTTCCCATATTTCTTGTAGCTGTCTTGGTTGACATGACTTAAATGTATTATACAAGCAGGCATCATAATATACATTGTACAATGTGCAAATACAAACTTACGTCGTGGCGGGTATATTCATTTCCAGGAAGGTGTTACGCTGCTGGAATCCCGGAACAGGAAAGAACTGAGGCTGTTGCGGAGGAGGATCTCCATGCTGTTGGTGCTGCTGTGGAGGCTCTTGAGGCGCTCGTGGTCGAGGCTTGTGGAGGAGGAGATTGCGCTCCTCCACCTCGATAATTTCCTGTATACAAGCAGGCATCATAATATACATTGTACAATGTGCAAATACAAACTTACGTCGTGGCGGGAATGTTCATCTCCAGAAAGGTGTTACGCCGCTGGACCTGTTGGTGCTGCTGGAATCCCGGAACCGGAAAGAACTGAGGCTGTTGCGGAGTAGGATCTTCATGCTGTTGGTGCTGCTGTGGAGGCACTCGTAGTCGAGGCTCGTTGAGGAGGAGATTGCGCTCCTCCACCTCGATAATTTCCTCCACCTGGTCTGCCATGATCAACTCTGCTGAAGTATAGCATAAAGAAGACAGACAGACAGGCACAAAAAGATACAGAGAGTCCTCAAGCATTGCTGACATATAGCCGGTCGTGTAAATGCTGGCCACTGGTGGTTGTGCCGCGTACCTGTGACACCTGCATCTGCTCTTCAGCATCAATGACTTCCTCACAAGCTGCATGCAAAACCTTCTTCAGCAATGCATACCCAACTGCATCAACGGTGCAAGGATAGACTTATCACAAGTGACACAAGTGCTAGCCACTTTCACCATGTCCTTCCCATATTTCTTGTAGTTGTCTTGGTTGACATGACTTGCAATGGTCTTGAAGGCTGACGAAGCAAAAGGGAGGTGATCTTCATCCAGGCAGACAAGGTTGCCACGACCACACAAACGCTGGCTCAGCGGAATATCAGCGGTTGCTTTCGCATCATAGTCCATCTGAATGGCCTTCAACAAGGTGAGCTGCTTCACTTCAGTCGGTTTCAGAGAGCCTCTTGATTTCTTCCTCTGCAGGACTGACTTGTAACCAGGAAGAGCAGCACCAAGAAAACTTGTGTGCATGCTGATGGTTGACTTGCATGCTGATGGCCGAGTTGGACAAAGTCGACACGAAATTCCTGATGGACTCTTCATTCACATGCCACACACCTGCTCCAATGGACAAAACGATGCAAGGCACGCCACACACCTGCTCCAATGGACGAAACGATACAAGACTTGTTATGCGACGAAAGGTCCGCTAACTCCATTGACTCAACGACCTCCAATTTCCTCTGAACTGCTTCGTACCGCAGCTTCTGGAATGCTGTGTATTTCTCGATCTTCTTCGAAGAGAGGCCGTACAGGGCACGATACTCCGTTGCCAAATGAACAGCCATTTCGATCCATGTCACTTTCTTCTGCTCCAGAAACCTCTTCCTCACTGGAAAGTAGGCAATATGATGCTCTTGAAGACACCACACCGCCACCTTTTCTCCGTAACTAACTACTTGTACATCCTTCACAACCAAATGATTGGCAACTTTCGCTCTTTGAGATGCGGAAAGCTGAGTGGAGGAACACACTCGTTTCGACGGAGGTTCTGGCTAAGCAGGTTCCACGACAGCACCGCGACCTCAATCCACACAAGTTTGGGTAGTAAGTATTGCAAGTAATATTTTCAGAGTTGTAGACTTCACAAACAAAAAAATGCAGGCCGTACAGGGCACGATACTCCGTTGCCAATTGAACAGCCATTTCGATCCATGTCACTTTCTTCTGCTCCAGAAACCTCTTCCTCACTGGAAAGTAGGCAATATGATGCTCTTGAAGACACCACACCGCCACCTTTTCTCCGTAACTAACTACTTGTACATCCTTCACAACCAAATGATTGGCAACTTTCGCTCTTTGAGATGCGGAAAGCTGAGTGGAGCAACACACTCGTTTCGACGGAGGTTCTGGAACTAGATTCGACGACGGTTGAGGATCGGCAGAACAAGGGGATACGAGGTGCACACTCTCGGTTATGGACTTCTGGTCAAAGCTATCTGCCCTCCTGCAAAGCTCGCTGTGTTTATCGCAGTTAGAGCACTCTGACTTTGACGCTTAGAGCCGGTTTAGAAATGTTTCCTTGTTGATTAGACTTCATTGCGATTGGTTCGACCAGTGGCTTTGGGCTAGCTGTCGGGAGATTGAGTAGGGAAAATAAACCCTGTTCTATTCCAGTATGCTGGCTGTTATAGAGTGGCGATCCTCCACATCCCTGGAAGGAGCAGGACCGTCTTGAGCGGGGTTCGGACGACGAATATGTTCGGATAAGGGAGTGGATAATGGATACCATGCACTCTTAGTCTTCACACAATACTGTGTGTTCTCGGTCAGTCTCACTAAGAATGTTTCTTTTGTTTTTCTAATTCCCACTGTTCTTGTGTGGTGTATTTTGGTATTTTGTGTGAGCTAGACATCCCATCAATGCTTGTTGCCTCCATTGCTGGACAAACTTGTAGTGCCGCTGAGCACAACCAAGAAGCCCGTGCCAACTGCACTGGATTCTTGCATTCGCCGCCATGCGTATCAGGTAACTAATTGCACTTGCGTAGGGTGATTTTGATTAGGATGACAATGCCGTGTGTGTGTGTGTGTGCGTGCGCGCGTGTGCGTGCGTGTGTGTGTCTATGTGTGTGTGTGTGTGTGTGTGTGTGTGTGTGTGTGTGTGTGTGTGTGTGTGTGTGTGTGTGTGTGTGTGTGTGTGTGTGTGTCTATGTGTGTGTGTCAAAGTCTGGGTGTGCATGCGTGGGTGTGTGGGTGTGGGGGTGTGCCAAGTTTTGCAGCAAGAGAGTCCAATTGTCTTGTAACATGTGCATTGAATTGTTTCCCTGTTGTTGGTTGCTGCTGCTGCAGTTCTTCTTTGGTATTGCATGCCTTGACTTTGCGAGGGATGATTATGTGCGGCGCAAGCTACGGGAGGTTGTGCAGCGCAACATCTTGGTGCCAAGCCCGGTCAGTACTTGTTTTCTCTCTCTCTCTCTCTCTCTCTCTCTCTCTCTCTCTCTTATCCATCTCTCTCTCTCTATCCATCTCTCTCTCTCTTCTCTCTCTCTCTCTCTTAATCTCTCTCTCTCAATCTCTCTCTCTCTCTCTCAATCTCTCTCTCTCAATCTCTCTCTCTCTCAATCTCTCTCTCTCTCTCTCTCTCTCTCTCTCTCTCTCTCTCTCTCTCTCTCTCTCTCTCTCTCTCTCTCTCTCAATCTCTCTCTCTCAATCTCTCTCTCTCTCTCTCTCTCTCTCTCTCTCTCTCTCTCTCTCTCTCTCTCTCTCTCTCTCAATCTCTCTCTCTCAATCTCTCTCTCTCAATCTCTCTCTCTCAATCTCTCTCTCTCTCTCTCTCTCTCTCTCTCTCTCAATCTCTCTCTCTCTCTCTCTCTCTCTCTCTCTCTCTCTCTCTCTCTCTCTCTCTCTCTCTCTCTCTCTCTCAATCTCTCTCGCTCTCTCTCTCTCTCTCTCTCTCTCTCTCTCTCTCTCTCTCTCTCTCTCTCTCTCTCTCTCTCTCTCTCTCACTCTCTCTCGCTCTCTCTCTCTCTCGCTCTCTCTCTCTCTTTCACTTATCTTGCTTTTTGACACAATGCACCAATGCATTGTTTGCAGTGTATATCTTCATATTTTCCCCCTTACTATGTTCTTTCTAGATTCGTCCTCCTCTTTCGACTCCTGCTGATTAGGTTGTGTCAATACAAAGTACAGTGTGTATGGGTAGTTTACAGTGTTGATACTAAGAGTACAATCCCCTCTCACCAAGTCAAAGGGTGTGCACGTGTGCAACATGTAGCCCCAAGGTCTCCGACAGAATTTCAAGTTGACGTTATGTTTTCCATGTTCAAAGTACGCATGTTTGTAGATGTCTCCATGGCCATTCGCATGCATTGCATGGTCATAAAATGTTAACAAATGACAACTTAGAATTCTACCTGGACAGCACTACATGTGGGAGCTAGACACTCTTAGAGGGTATGTGCTCTTGCAGATACCCACTGGAATTACTATTTGACCTACATTGTTAGTGCTAGGGGACCGAAGGAAACGTGAATGTCTGCCAGCTGTAGACATGGCAGATGTGGTGTCGTTATTAGGTGAAATTGGGTGTGACTGCTTTCTTCGACAAGTTACGACAACCTTGTGCACCTTTGTCCAGCATGGATAAGATCTGCTTGGTGTTTCTTCTCCTGCTTATCTTGCTAATGTGCCTGTGTGTGTGTGTGTGTGTCTATGTGTGTCTGTGTGCGTCTGTCTGTGTCTGTGTGTCTGTGTCCGTGCATGTGTGTGTTTGTGTATGTGTGTGCGTGCGTTTTCATGTGGATGCATGCGTGTGAACTGTGAATGAACAGTCGTTGAACAATTATGGTGGAATCACAACCTCGCACCCATACCTGGTAAGCTGCAGTGCAGCAATTGTTTTCTGTGGAGTCTGATGTGGAAGCATTCTGTACTTGTTGGTATGGTGCGCTGATTGTGTTGATTTGCGTTGGATGTCACCTGAGCACATGCAATGTTCATCATGACTGCCTTGGTATTGGGTGTACTTTTTGCAGCTGGCCCTGTTGAGTTTGCGGTCTGTCATCGGTGATGCTGATGTCAAGTAAGCCTCATTCTGTACCCTGGCATTGTAGCAGTATAGCATTGTGGCATTGCCACTGTCAGTTTATCCTGCTGACAGTAACCCTGTTTACTATATATGTGTACCTCGGGGTGTGCGTCCGAGGATCGAGAGGGGAAATGGTTGCGTGCCTTGGCAGTGCTTATGTCTGTGTGTGTGTGTGTGTGCGTGCGTGCGTGTGTTGTTCCACTGGTGTCCGAGTCTTCCCTAAGAGGTGAGGCAGAGATTTGTTGTTCTGACCTAAGTGTGAGCACTTTTAGAAGCTGCACCAACCAGTGTTGGTTTTTCCGAGGTTCTTGTCCGCCTGGACATAACATCTGTGCTGTATATGTCGTGCTGCTGTTGACGTGTGCAGGGCAATCCGTCAGCTCATGCTGTGCGCGTTACGGGATCACTTTCTCATCGTGCCAACCAAGCAGCCCAACCTGTTTCAAGCGGTGAGAAACCTATGCTACTCGCGTGCTGGTGGTTAGAGTCCTGTTGTCCGTCAGCGGTTCTATCTGATCCAGGCTCGAATCCACAGTTTTCCTAACTTCTTTCTGCTTTTAGAGAAGAGGAAACGTATGAGCAGTATGGAAATCAAGAAGACAGATTACTGCAAAGCATGCTGTGTTGACCACTACGAACCAAGGCCATCAAGCTCATTGCCTTCCAAGAGAAATTTATCCTCTATACTGTCTTTTTTCTTTCTTTTTTTTTAGTTTAACCACTGTCATGCTAGTATGCAATGGCTCTATTTGGTGTACAAGTAAATGTATTTTTGTATTTGTGTGTATTCTGCAGGCTGTGACACTAATAAACTGCCTTCACCAAATCTCTGGTTTGGACGCCATCCTGAGGTACTTCGAAGTAGTTCTAAAGTACTTTAACTAGTTAGTTATTGCGATGTTTGGTAGGATACTGATGTAATTTGTGTTTCTGTGACCCTTTTGCTGCCCTCCAACACCTTGTATGTATGTGTTCTTTGGTTGTATGTTTGGCCTGCGTTCGTGTGTTGCCAGTGATTGCCCAACTCTGTTGTGTCGGCTGCTGTCATGTCTGCTGGCCTGTGAGGTTGGCCGCGCTGGAAACGATGCACGCACTGTCAAGCCACTTGGTAAGAAGAACTAAACCAGCAGACATTATGATTGGGGGGGGGGGGGGGGGTTGAAAGGATTGTGATATCCGTGTAGTGGCTTAGCAGATATCACATTCGCCTGTTTAGCTTAGCAGCACATTTTCAAACCCACGTGTCTCCAGCAGCATTCAGTGGTTTCTAGTGGAGTAGACTATCCAATCCAGAATAAGTTTGATGCCAGCCATGAGCTTCTCTATGCAACCAGATAAAGATGAATGACTCAGAAATGGGTGATAATTCATGAAAATTGTACAACTCATTGACTCTACAATCTACACCGTGAACTGAGTCAGACACTTCCAATCTAAGTGCATCTTGCTCCCCACTTGCCTGTTATGTGCGTGTACACATTAATATGTAGATATTGCTACAACTGTGGTGATATCCTCTCTCTCTCTCTCTCTCTCTCTCTCTCTCTCTCTCTCTCTCTCTCTCTCTCTCTCTCTCTCTCTCTCTCTCTCTCTCTCTCTCTCTCTCTCTCTCTCTCTCTCTCTCTCTCTCTCTCTCTCTCTCTCTCTCTCTCTCTCTCTCTCTCTCTCTCTCTCTCTCTCTCTCTCTCCCTCTCTCCCTCTCTCCTGCTTCTGCTTGGTCTTAGTGGAAGGTCTGCTGAAGAACATGCTATCAAAGGTGGAAATTGCTGGCAAGAGTGACAGGTACATTGTACAGTCTGATTATTGTAACAGTTACTGAGAGGCTGAGGTAGCAGTCCTCTATTATTTCCATTTTCAGAGTGGGCACTGGAGATCAATGGTAAAGTAGCTTGCCTATCCATGTACTACTGTACTCTCGGGCCACCGCTGTGTGAGCCTTAATGGGATATGTGTGCTGGTGACCAGGAACTGTATTGATTGTGTTTGGACTGCGGACTGGTGGAAGTGGACTAGGCCTTGACGGATTATGCTAATATTTTCGTGAAATTATGCTTTTCGCATTGCTGAAAAAATTGCAGAATTATGCTATTTTTATGCTTAAAGTTATCATATTATGCCGCATTATGCTCACATATGCTGCTAATGCATAATGGTTCTGTGCAAAATAACAGGGGAATTTTTTTGTAGAGGGCGTTGTACTGTAGTAGCAAAAGTTCAACGGGGTCAACGCACCGTCCGACCTAGCTACGACCATCACTGATTGTAGTGGACAGGACATGTTATCAAGGGAGTCGTAAACCTACAACTTCCTAGTGCATCTACTTGTACTTGTACTTGTAGAACATGTACAACCAAGAGTACATGGGGGGTTATGTACTCTTGGTACAACTGTATGGAATTTGATGCGAACAGGCGGATTATTCCAATTTTATGCAATTCGTATGCAATTTGCCTCGAATTATGCGATTATTCGATTTTGGTAGGAATTATGCGAAAAATTATGCTAGCATAATCCGTCAAGGCCTAAAGTGGACAGACATCTTCACTGAGCGCATTGCACATACTAGCATACTGTATTTACAGGGTACTAGTCCCTCTCACTCCAATCTTCATGCATGTGTGTGTACCCACCTGCTCAGCATACTCAGTGTGGGCCTGTGTGGATGATATACCTGCAGTGCTAGAAGACCGTACACTGAAACTCAGATCCGCGGTCCTGTACATGTACCGTGAATGTCTTGTTAAAACATGTGTACAATCAAACACTGCACCCACAAACATGTGTACAATCAAACACTGCACTCACAAACATGTGTACAATCAAACACTGCACCCACAAACATGTGTACAATCAAACACTGCACCCACAAACATGTGTACAATCAAACACTGCACTCACAAACATGTGTACAATCAAACACTGCACCCACAAACATGTGTACAATCAAACACTGCACTCACAAACATGTGTACAATCAAACACTGCACCCACTGTCTTAAGGCATGATTTTAAAGTATTGTAGACACTGTGGAAGTTTTTTAAAGATGCATAATGAGCTGTCACTGCATATGAAATGGTGCTGTTCTCCTTCACGTTCTACCTATCAGGCATTCAATCGTGCAGCTGCTGTCTACGTATGCAACGGAAAACATTCGACAGCAGAAGGTGAGTGTATGTTGGATTGCATGTACATGTAGTTGTTCAAGGTGAAATCCAACCCAAAGTGCAAAGCCGGTGGTGCCCTGAACCAGTTTCCTTTGCACCGTACATGTATTAGTGTACACACTTGAGAGGGACGAAAAGCGTTTCTGCTGTAACTCTGAGGCATGGATTAGTATATGTGCAGGGCATAGCTTAAGGATTTCATTTAGCTCGGACAAATGTCCTTCCGTTTTGAAATCTGTCCGGACATGCCCGGACATTTTCCACGACACATTTTCAGGGTGTTTCTTCTTTTTTTTTTAGTAGTGCTGAAGTATACTAGTATTCACAATGACTCATTATGTGGACGTATCTCACACATTACTATGTACAATTCGCCAGTTTATTTGTATTAGAAACTGAAGTATTTACTGACGACAAATGTATGTACAAGAAAGCGTTGCAGTCAAGAATTTTGCGAACGCGATATGCTCCTTGCAGAGAAGGTAAGTCAGTTCGAATTTGTGTCGTGCAATAGCGGCAGCACCATCGTCCATATTGCACAGTGCCTTCGCAATTGGAGTGAATTCGAGGGCATTTCGAGCGGGACACTCTTGCCTGCGGAAAAGATTCATTGCTCGTTTATGCATCTCCGTTCCAGCATGATCCTTGAACGCTGATGTTCTCAGGTTCTTGGATCCGGTTATGAAAGCCTCGCTGAAGTTTTTACAACTGCGGACTCTGTCTACAAACTTGATGCACACGGAACACTTCAAACATTCTGCTAACAGCCGATCGTTCTTCTGCTGGTCATAAATCAGCCAGGCGGAAGTAGTCAGCTCTGCATCGTCCGAGATCCACGTACCGCAAGAAGCGGCCTTCACACCACGGACCTTTTTGCCCGGCGGCAAGTCCTCTGAATCCCCCTTTCGCTTTCCACAAGACATTCTAAAAGACTCAGGATCTGCATTCCTGGTCAGTGAAAGAGTGAAAAATAAAACATGACATCTTCCTCTCAAGAGCGAACAACTGCATTGCAGACTGCAGTTCAACCCATCGATTCAAGTGGGTGTGAAAGTGTGAATTGACTGTAGCAACCATGTTGCTACAGGCGGATAAAGTAAATCTGGTGAAGTCTACGCCTGAGGCTACGGTGTAGACGTGTTAGTTGTACGATATGAAAGTCCCATTTGGCACGAAGCTCCGAAGAAAGCCCAACTCTGCATAAAAAGGTCGAACGGTCGCTGCTCTTTTTTTCTTTTTGACCGGACACTATGTCCGGTGAAATTGAAAACGTCCGGTCAGTGGCCGAAAATGGCCGGAAAATGTCCGATGTCCGGCCGTTAATCTATGCCCTGATGTGTTGGTCCAGCAGTATTCGTATCGCCTCCAGGACTTCAACGGCCATGCAAGTCCTGGGTGCTACGTGTGCATTTTGGGTTGGATTTTACCTCGCACAACTGACATGTACATGATTGTGTTTGTCACTTTTGAAAATTCCTACTTTCATAGATTAAAAAGTCCTGGAGCGAATATATTTACCAGCGCGTTCAGCACTCTTGACAGACAAGGGCGCTCTTAGCTTTTGTATTTTTCAGAGGATGTGTTTCCTCTGCTTTTGTTTGTTTCTTCGGCCTTTGTGTGGATGAAAAATCCCTGTAACTCTGGTATGTGCTAGGTAATTGTGCATGCATGGATGCCATGCCACATGGTCAATACAGACTCAGCACGGGTGAAAGCCTTTTCTTAGTGTATGCAGTTTTATCACAGAGTCACAAAATTATTGCATTGCTCTTGCCCTGGGTGAAGTAGTGCTGTATCCAGTACATGTACGAGTACATGTATATGCCTAACCCTGAAAAGGACAAGATCATGTACAATAAACTTCAAACGAACAAACAGTCAAATCCTACCTTCTGTGCTCATGTGCTCACCGCATCATTCTACGCCAGCATATGCTATCGTTCATTTGGTGTTGTTTCTATGTCCAGCACTACGCCTTACGGCCGCTGGTTGCCTTGGCACCGACATTTCCGAAGCTGATGGCTGAATTTTGCCCATTTGCCGAGGGCATCGTGCAGCAATTTGAGACGGCCCAGGGCAAGGGAAATGACCTACAACTCAGGTATGCCGGTCCATAGCTGTGTCGGTGCTTTCATTTGTAGAATGTTTTGGCAATGGTCAGCCCTGCTGCACTCGCCTTGAGCGATCTCCTTGGGAGTGCCGGCAGTCCTAGCAACTGCCATTGCCCAGGGTGTGGGGCCAGGGGCGACCAAGGCGGCCATGACCGCTCCTTTTTGTTGCCTGGGAAAGTCCGTCTGATCCGTGCAAAACTGGTAGAAAACGCCTGGGCAACTACACACAGTAGTACTTCTGCAAACTGGAGGCTTACGAAGAGGAGCTCAACACTTCAGATCTCTACCTAACCTCCTGCACAGTGGAACTTCGGCATTCCGACCACCTTTCAGGCCGGGCTATATGATCGGATTTCCCAGATGAGAGAGGTTTAAAAAAAATTGCGATGGAGGCCGGAGAAAAACAGAATTGCCGCGTAACGTTGAAGAAAGATTAGAATGAAAAATGAAGGAAAGCCATAGAAGGGTTGATAGAGAGATGGGGAATAGAACTTTTAAAAAGCATGTTCAAAAGAGCTGCTGTTGGCAAATGGTGATACTGGAGGCTGAAACATCTCATTTGGTCACGTCTGGCTTCGCATTGTACGGGTTGTGCATAGCCTTGTAGGAATACATGGGCTGGAACAGAGAAAGAGCTGGATGTGGGGCAAGCAGGGTCTGCAGCATACTAAAACCAGAGCTGATCTATCCAGTAATTTTCGCCATATTAGAATTCAGTCTCTCCATCGTCTTGGAATGGTCATTATCAACTTGAACCATTCTGTCAAACAGCTTTTTCTTCATCTGCACGTCCTACTGCGCCTGTGCCAATGTTTGTGACTCGATGCTTGCTTTCCTCTTGAGCCTCTCCTGCTTATGGTTTATCATGTTATCATCAAGGAGGTGCCCGTCTGGAAGCAATAACTTCTTCCGTTAGCTCATCTGCCAATTCGAAAGCTGCCCCAATCGACACCATCCGCCGCCCCGCTCGTTTTATAATCGAGGATACAGGACAGGAGAAGCTGCACTTCGTCTTCACCCCACACAAAATTGTCTCGGGACTTTGTCTTTCGACCGGTTGTCATTGGGTATTGTGATGCCGCTGGGGCACATGGCCTTTCTAGCAGCCGAGACTACTTCTGGCATTACTTGTACTTGCGACATTCTCTCAACCGGAGAAAAACAGGGAAGATGCATGAAACTCCCGACACAACAAGAGCACAGTACTTTTAGTTATAATTCATGCATTACAATATTATTGATACCTGACCGGTTTCTGCAATTAGAATGCTTCATCAGAGGATGAAGAATGAGGTAGTAGTAAACAATAGCTTATATACACAGTAGGCACGAATTGCCATGGTGTAAAGTGGAGAGGGTTGCTCATGGCCTTTCTAGCAGCCGAGACTACTTCCGGTATAAAGTGGAGAGGGTTGCTCATGGCCTTTCTAGCAGCCGAGACTACTTCTGGCATTACTGGGACTTGAGTCGTTCTCTCAACCGGAGAAAAACAAATAATTGACCTACAAAGCTCTGCGGACAACTGGACCGTCAAACACAAATTGGATACTGAATTTGGAAATACTTTTCTTGAACAATACCTTGTGCACTTGGTTGTGCTGTATGTGTCGTCGCGGTGGCTCAAAGAAAATGCCTGTCGTGTGCTGTCGCAGGGCACCTGTCGCAGAAGTTGAAGAAAGTTCAACTTTTGCGACGTGCGACACGCGACATACACAAATGGAGTACAGTTTCGACCCTGGGTGCACGTGCAGTGCACGTGCATTGCACGTGCATTGTACTACTTGTGCATGAGGATGTCGCAAACACGAAGAATATTGTGAACCGTGTGTCGCTGTCGCAGCTCGTCGCATGTGTTGCAAGTCGCATGTCGCGTCGCAAGAAGTTGTATTGTGAACCGGCCTTAAAAGTGTACTTGTGAGGTGGCTAACCCGTGCAACGCACACAGTTTGCGCAAGGCAACAGGCGGGCCGTCATGGGCGTTGCAAAGCACAATGCATGGAGTTTCAGCCACCTGTGAAGCTCGGAGAGATTGGAGAGCTTTGGAGAATCTCCTAAAAATGCGGAGAGGATATACGAATACTTTGACTTTTTAGAGCGTCTCGGACCTTTCCCAGGGGATATAAGAACACACCTTTTCTCCCCCGCACACACGCGCAGTCCTTCTTCATAACTCCTTCCAACGCCCCTGAAGATGTGATACTGTAGAATCCTGCGGATAAGTTAAGCCCATGGGCTTATCTGTTTCACAAGGACGTTTCGGTGGACTTATACAAGAACATGGGCTTATATGCGGGCATTTCTTATACCCCAACACCAAAATTGTGCTATTGAAAAGTACCAAGGAAGTGAGAAGTAAATTGCCGAAAACCACTGTGCAAACAAAAACAACCGATGATTGTGTTGAACTTTTCTAAGCACTCGCAGACTCCATTGCAGCCACTCACACATTACAGGGTACCTCACTTCAAACTCTCCAACTACGGTCTCTTCGCTGCATACGTTCACTTTACTTCCAAAAAAAATATTAGATATAAATTGAATGCACCAAATTTTCGGGCATGGCCCATCTTCAGGGTGAAAAACCATTCAACTAAAGCCAACAAAAACTGAAACGAGTAGATATGCTGTGTGGTGCGGTAGTGCTGGATATGTTTGTATGTGTGGAGGGTAGCAGCAATGGTGAAAGGTGTCGGGAGAATGGAAGGGAAAGCACGAGAAGTGTGGTGACTAGCAGCAATGGTGACGTGTGTTGGTAGAAAGGGAAGGAGCAAAGGAGACAAGTGGAGAGCTGTGCCTGTAAGTGTGAATATGTGTTAGTGCGACGTGGAGAATAGAATGCAATGTATGCAATGTATGCAATGTAGCTGGATCCATGGGTGTGAAGACAAAGATGACGACAAGTATTTGCTAAGCACTATTATATAACCAGCTAGCACACATAAACACTAAATATTATAGAATGAACATTGCTTCACGTATGCGAGTGAACGTATGCAGCGAAGAGACCGTAGTTGGAGAGTTTGAAGTGAGGTACCCTGATTGTGTTGAAATGTACAAAAAACCCTACATGAATAACCAAGAGTCCATAACGGGGTTATGGACTCTTGGTACAACGTACATGGTACGACCTAAGGCCCAGGAGCTTGGACAACGAAGCTTCGCGATGTTCGAACTTGGCCTGGGCTTATGCGCGAGCATGGGCTTATACACGAGATTCTACGGTAATGCTGCTATTGTTTTTTTAACCTCTCTCTTTCTCTCTCCTCTCCACCTTCATAGTCTGCTGGGGTGAATCACTTCTACACATTGTACAAATTCGAACTGTATTGCTGTGTTTGTCCCCGATGTTTGTCCTTTAGGAGTGTTCTCCAGCAACTACAAAAGGCTTGCCAAGGTCACAGGCAGTTTCCGTAACGTGGCCATTGGCTATCTCAACGCCATCACTACCTTCTTACCATGTTGATGTCGGTGGCTTCTTTCTCTTTATGTGTTTAGCTTCTTATCATATAATTCATATTCTTTTTATTCTTTTGCTGCTGGACAGCAAAATTCACAACTCCGAGATCATGAAAAGCTGTACACATGCTGGCGTACGCATGAAAGTGCCCTATCCATGATTTCCGTGAAGTTGAGAGGACTGGATATCCAGAAATACATCTGCATGCAAGTGTTCTGCGGTGTTCCGTGGGACAAGACTTTTTTAAGGAGTGCTTCGTGGCACGATAGCTACTCTGCATTTGAAGCTTTAATTGTCATCTGCAGCTGGCTTTTTCTGTACTTGCGTGCAGGTTGTCGTTTGTTTCTATCGCTTTGGCTGCAACCTTGAAATATCATTAGTGCCGTCAATTGTTTGCCTGTTCGCGTTGGTGTCATTGGATTGGGCCTACTGCACTGCAGTTGTGGCCAGGGAGTCGTAAAATACCGGTATTTTACGACTCCCTGGTTGTGGCCAAAGAAACCTGACCCACAAGTCCAAAGTAGCGCCACGTTTCCATTTCAAGTACATCGTGCATGGTCCGCATAAAGCAGGGAGTCGTAAAATACGGTATTTTACGACTCCCTGGCATAAAGAATGAAAAATAAAATCCGCCCGCCCTCCCCATTCTTTCTGAAAAAAGGATGCTCTGACATCAAGAATATTCTTTGGCTTGGCCTAAAATCCAGTCTTTTTTAGTGCAGTACCGTGCACTGCTACAAACCATCCTCCAGAATGTTCAAGTCAGTGATGATTTGTACTTGTAATATGCATATACAGCTGTGGTCTGTTTGCTGACCACTCTATGATGCCGGTAGATTTGGTGCCTGGTATGCTACTGCGAAGCGATGTAGCTCACTGAAATCCGGTTGACCGAGTGCAGTGCCGTGCCAAGGGGAGGGGATCAGTGATCATCAGGGAGTCGTGCCCAAAACGGTTTGGGTACGACCCCCTGGGGATCACCTACAAATGTCCATACATCATCATGTATGAGAGAGCATGTGTGCAGTCGAGCATTGCATCATTATACCGGTATCAAGAGACCCCCCCCCCCCCCCGGTATCAAGAGTCATTTTTGAGGTATATTATGTATCAGATTGCAACGACCAGGAGGCTCTTAGTAGTGGCTGCAAATGACCGATATCCGTCACTTGCGGCTCTGTATCAGAGACCTGTAGCTGGCCTGAAGAGTTGTAAAATTACTCCTTCGTAGCCGGGGGAGTCAGAGCGAGGGCGATTCACGGCTTGGTCAAAAAACTGTCGGCCTGGAACGTAAACGTGGAGCTGCCGACACAGTTCACCTGGTTCACACGCCTGACCTGGCATGCTGCCTTGCGTGAAAGGAACATTTTTCCGAAAGCAAGCTTCTTCTCCAAAATTCGAAATTTCTTTCCAAAAATGCCGTCGTCCTTGACCTCCAAGCTGAATGTTGTTAGGATAGAAAATTAGCGAAGATGTAGCCGACCCATTCTGGCAAGCCGTGTGCCCTCTGGATATGCAGTTGTTCGCCATGGTCAACAATCTTCTTCTCCTTCGTTCGTACTTTCACTTTCCTGACCACGAATACAAGCGGTACCCATGCTCAGGTAACTGGTTAGTGTTTATTTGTCTGTCTATGCACATACATGTAATACAATGTACTGTTCGTGCTGCAGGCACTGGCCGACCATGGAAATAGAGGAAGCAGCCAGCTTTCTTTGAATTCTCATCCTTTCAACAAAAATAATAATGTACACACTGTCCTTGGCTCCTTTTTCCCACCGCCACCATGCATGCACTTCTTTTCAAATTCGTGTTTGCTTTGACAGTGGTTTCATGGGTGTCCTTCAGCCTTCCCTGGCATTCAAAATTCAGAATAGTTTCCACCCAGGTGCTAGTGCCTCTGTTCTGCTTAGCACATTGTAGTAAAATTATTTGCAACTGCCCACCACTGCACTCTTGGCTCACATTCACTACACCATAGCGAGGAAGTAACTAGTTTGTTCTTGGATAGATGTCTGGAGGGTGTAGAGCATCTATCCAAGAACGAACTTCCTCGCTATGGTGTGGTAAATGTGGGCCAAGAGCAGTGAGGAGAGGTGGACATTTTCAAATTATTTAGCCACATCCGATCCTTTCTCCGATAATTATGGACATGTTTTACTATACCGGTATATTGAATGGCCACTCATGCTTCTATTGAGAGGTAACACCATTCAGGAAACTGAGGAAAGCCAACCGGTGTTGCACAGGATTTGAGGTTGGGAAGAAAAGATGTTCCGATAAAAGAACTGCGAGTACATGGGAAACGTATTATGGAAAGGGCAGTCTGAGTCGAACTAGGATCTCCTGTTCCAGAGCGTGAATATGAATACCGTAAAGTCGCGGTTAAAAGCCGGGTTTGCATACAAGCACATCGCAGATAGAAGCCTGAAAATCAAACGGGTCGAATGCATATGAGCCCGTCGAGCGTAGAAGCCTTGCTCTATGCAAGCGCGGATCGGGTGGGTCAAGAGTGCATGCGCTATGTATGGTGCATAGTAAAACTGCTGCCATACCGGTAGTCAGTGGTAGATCTACGCGTGTCGCACGTAGAAGCCTGGCATACAAGACTGGCAAAAATATCAGTGGTGCATAATAAGCATGGTTTGCATTAAAACCTGATGGAGAAAGCGGCTTATGTGCTTATAAGCCCGGCTTTTATCCGCGACTTTACGGTACAGTAGAATGCCGATATTCCGAACAATCACTTATTCGAAATGCCAGTTTTCATATTGAGGAGCTAGAGTGTGTCTAGTTCCTGTGAAGAGAATGTGAGAACTGATGGAAACGTGAAGGAATGTGCAAGTCTTAGATGGATGTGTGACTGCTCCGTTATCCGAATTTTCCCCATCCGAACCCCCTGGAGAAAGCGTGCGCCCGAGGGGTGCGGATAATCTACACTCTGCTGTAACAGTTATGTACAATGCGTGCCGATGCACATTGGACAACGTTGCAAATGTAGAATTGTAGGTGGACTGTGGTTCACATTAGACGATCGGAGTACCCCCACCAAACGAAGAGAGCTCAACATCACAAGGTAGAGCTTGCATGTACAATCGAAAAAGAGTACATAATAATACCATTAGCTGATGTTGTTAGTGTGCGTTACGAAGTCTGAAGAAAATGTTGAACGATCTCGGCTGGGATGACGGCTTCACCTTAGCTCAGTGATTAGAGCATCGCTGGCCTCAAGCGAAGGTCCCTGGTTCGAATCCTGGTGGTGACAGTCAATTTTTTCTTCAGACCTTTCCCGTTTGTGCCTTTCCCTCTAACCAGTGAATATTACTGTTAGCTTCGTACTTTGAGTGATTATCACTTACAGTTACATATACAATGTACTTGATAATTTCTTAGCGCATGAAAATCGGAGTCAGTACCACAATATTCCTCCCTCACTATATGAGTCTAGATACTTTGAATGTGGAACAAGGTCCAGGACAGGATCGTCTGCTCTATCCGAATTATGGCCTGGTTGCAATTTGTCTATTTACCAGCAGGTACATCGCACCAGGGAGTCATAGCACCTACACTGTAGGGAGACTACACAATACTTTATAGAATTTTGGTTCAGGATTTGGAGGTTCTCCGTGATCTGTGCAACCCGCGATCACGGCCTTGACCTACTGACCCTGAGAACGGCCCAGGTTAGCAATACCATGTACGAGCGTGTATAGATCTGCCCAATGGTGCCCCAAGGGTGGCTGAAACAGGAACCCCTGGGTCGAACCCCATGTCATTTAGCTTTACAGTCGCCTGTGCCGTCTACCTAGATGCTACAACTCCCTGCGTTGCACCCAGTAAATGCAGCACATCAAGTATACAGCCATGTAGTGTTGGATGTCACCTGTTCTGATCGTGTGATATCACAAACAATCTTCTACGGTCCATTCATTTTTAACCTGGCACGTTAGGGGCCGTCCATAATTATCTATCTTTAACAGATTGAGTATCTTTGAAACGAGAAAAAAAATCGTTCATGGGCGGGTGGGTCAAGAAGGGTTTCGTAATGAAAAATATTGATAGCTGAAACACTAGTCCATTCCAGCTATTTTTCGTTGAGGGGTGAGTAGGTGGGGGTGGGGGACGGTCACAAGTTACTCATAACTAAACTTTTCATTTCGTGAAAATTATCGATAATGCCGGGTCCATAATTGTCGATCTTTTACACGAAGAGAAAAAGTTTCGTTTGTGGGTGGGTCAAGGGGAGTTTCGTTTCGAAAAAATATTGATATTACAGACATCAATCGGGGGGGGGGGGGGGTGGAGGAGGGTCCTTCTTTCATTTCGTGAAAATTATGGATAATGCTGGATAGCTCCTTTAGTCTATGCAATAAAATAGTTGTTTTCTTCACACAGTACCGTAAAGTTTAAACAATATCCGGCCATGTTTGTACCGAACATTTTTTCGAAAGGTAATTTCTCAAATGTTGCCTTGAGTACGTTCTCAGCAACATAGCGGGCCAGTTTCAAATAATTGGACTGCAAACTTGCATCGCTGGTTGTTGCAGCTCCATCACAGGTCGTATCACGGGAAATTGAGTCCAGCTTCACTTCTAGGTTGGGTGACACGTAATGGGCATCACTTCCTGCATGCTGGTGCATGTGACTCAAGAGCTCTGGCTGGCAAGCAGTTTTAGACTGCAGGTGCAATACAAGATTTTTCTGCGATGTGCTATGCATTGTGCATTGCATTTCTCGAGAGACACTTCACGCTATGTGAAAAAAAGAATTTCGCTCCATGTGGTATTGTGCATCATGCAGTGCAACTTTACCACAAAACTGGACTCAAAGCACCTTATAGCTAGCTGTGGTTCACAGCAAAGATTTTCCTATTTGCGACTCTTGGTTTAATGGGTGCAGTAGCATGCATGTGCCTGGTGATATTGTTGCAATGGATCATAGTGAGGGCGTAGCAGTACTTGTGCACTGATAGTTGGTAATGGCATGAGTACATTACCAAGAGTGGGCAACTCGATGATCCCTCTGCCCACGGCAGAAAGTTTCATCACTTCGGTTTTTGTGGGCCATTGGGCTCATTAATACCATCATGCGTAGCCAGAGATCAAAACTTGTACATCACAGCTACGGTAGTTGAAGCAGAACAATGAACTGTGGATCCATGCCTACTGAACCTGATGAAACACTCTATCTACATGGCACATGTAGAAATATATGCGCGCTTGCTCATAATCATTGGATTTCGAAGCCGATCGCACCTTATGTTAGTAGTTGCACATTCTTAGCAGTTATGTAGTTTGATAATAACGTTACGATAGATTATCAATACTGGTGGAAACGTTATGCTGGTTGCATATTTTGTACCCGGTGTGCCATGACCAGGCATGCTAAT